GGTTATACAAGATATAATAAATAGTTAAAATTAATATCATCTTGATACAAATCTGTAACTAATCTTATCATGTATACTGCAAATTCAAAATAAAAAAATAAAAAAATATATAAAACTAATATATAAAAATTATTTCCTTTTATTATATTTGTATTTTTACAAATAATAGCAACTTTCTATAATTACTACTTTAAAAATTACTAATAAAGATATAAGCAAGACCTTATCTAAATACCAAAAAAAATAAAAAATTTTAAATTTTATTATAGTATTATTACTATAACATTTTTGTTTAAAACATTCAAAAATTTATTTAAAAAATAATTAGTTTTGGTTTTTTTTTAATCTTAAAGGATTAGTTTTATGTTTATACTATACTAAATACTGTATGTAAAATACTATATGTAGTATTTAAAGTAACTACTTATCTAAAGTTCGTTCGTTCGTACGTACGTAACCACGTTAAATAAATATCGATATCCAAAAGTTGCACCTAGCTAAAATTAAGCCCCTAAAATTTTAGATCTTCATGCATTAATTCTGTCAAATACATATCTAAAGTGGTTACTTCAAATATGTAGATACCAGATAAAAACATGTATACCACTATATAGTGATATAATAAGATTTTCCCGCCAAATAGTTTATATGTTTATGACATATCAATAGATTTCTTTCGGATAAAGAGTAATAAAACAGTCCGATAAAATTATAAGAATTAATCAGAAAAGGGAATAAAATTCTATATAATGATGATTATCGTTAGTTAACAATACGTACGTACGTACGTACGTAGATCATCGGTATGTTCCGGATAAATGAATGATATGTACGATACTGAATATTGAATGAAAGCCAGTTACCACATTTTTTCGTGAAACCAAACACCACCATGATTATTTAATAAAAAAAATATTTTTTTTATCAACCCTTATCTGTATATCCTTTGTGTAAAGGTATATTAACAAAATTAGTTAAAAAGAAATTAATTGGTTTTTTTTTTTGAAAATAGACTATTTCGTTTATATTGTAATTGTGTCTTATACGTACGATTCTATAAAGAAGGTTCTCGTGTAATATGCTAATGAAAAATGCAAATCCTGATTTCTGATAATGAAATTACGTAATATTAATACGCATATTATTAAGTATTATTGAAAAAAAAATTAGGGTTTTACTTGTTATGGAAATCCGTATGCTTTCGTTACTTCATTATTTTTTAGGGTCAAACACAGGCAAAGAATTAATGACATAGTGCCGAACCTAACGTAATATAGTTATTAGTAAATGTCAGTTTAGCCATATGGTCATGTGATAATTGGCGTAGTTTTGCACCTACAGTTTTAGCGACGAAAAAATTATTGGGACATTGGCGCATGAGAATTTTAATGTACGTACGTATCAAAGTTTCAGCCTTAATAATTTCAGAGAATTATCTAATATATGAGGCGTAGTTTCACATGATTTACATCTATTTTTATAAAAATCTTATAGCGATAGAAAACACGATCACGTGACAGGACACCGAAAAGTGTATATTATCATCGCACAACAGGTAACATTATTGTATAACGATAACTTTCTATGAACGAATTCCAAAGACTCTCGCGCATTTATCATTTGCTTCTGCATAAAATTTTCATTGATGAGAAATCCAACCAATCTTTATTAGAAATTATACATCGCTAAATAAGAATAAATTACTTGAAAGACAAAGACTTTGAATACGTATTAAAACAACAATCACGGAGTAGAATTCTAAGTTAGAAACTAGTAACGCATATATTCCCGTTAAATACCCATGCACCAAAATCGCAAAACCTTTTTTTTGATACTAAATTTTTTTCAAGCATAAAAACTTTAATGGCCGCCTGAATCATGGTATTCTCATGAAACATGCGTTAAACATGCTAAATTAAAAACGAAGAACCTGTTAAATGCTTTATTAGTCATGGAATACATTTTACGACTGTACGTATGTATGTATTATAAGTGCGCCTTGCCTCTTTGAAGCATTTGTGGTAACTTCCTTGAAGTGGTAATGCATGATATTTTCCGGTAGGTTTCTCAAATGAAACTCTATATATACCTTGTAATACGGGCAATCCACGTGATGAAAAAAGCGATTTCCGTTCGTATAGAAAAGGTTGATTCGTAACATCGATCAATAAAATTCTTGGGCAAGATATTCGTTCAAATTACTGCATGATGAAATATGATAATGCGGTGATAAAATAAGAGTGTTACGAAATCATTCAATCAAATCATTTCAATCAAATCATTATTAGTATCAGTAACCTATCAGCCATTACGTTTACTGTAGCTATTACGTATTACTGTATTAAAAAAGCGAAGAATCGATGATATTTTTTGTGAAATCCCCAATAAAGCTTAAAAAAACCAAATTTCTTCTATCCATTTTACCAATGCTGTAATGAATTGACCTATATTGTATTAATAATATTAAATATTTATTAATAATCCTGTAAAATTTATCAAAAAATCATTAAAAAATCATTAAAGATTTGAATACATTACCTTACATACAAAGGCAACCAAAAAAAGTGTATGTACGTATGATAAAGACCAAATCTTTTGAATTCCTAAATAAGCAATAATCTTTAAGGTAAAATGTTTAACTATCTTTACATCTTTAAATGACTCATAATGAAAATGGACAGGGTTTTGTGGAATTGTGAATTGTGGAATTGTGGAATTGTGAATTGTGGAATTATGGAATTATGGAATTGTGGAATTGTTCGAAATGAAATTTTACAAGATTTTTTTTACAAGAATATATTCATTCTTACTATTATTTTTAGGTGAATTATAGCATGTTTTATTATTATTATTGTTATCATTTAATTTGAGGTCCTCCTAATCACTCTAAAAATGCAAAAAAAAAAAAAAAAAAAAAAAGAAATAAGGATACATGTTGAAAATGAGAAGACTGGTTATTAATAAATAAATGAATTCGAATTCAAAATAGATTTATACTGTAAAATTAATTATGTACTCTCATATAAAAACATGTAATTGTGTTATATACATAATTGAAATAATATGACTGAAATACATCCAAAATGATATCGATTCGAAATGACATCTATTCGAATAGAAATGATATCGACTCGAAATGATATCAACTAAAGGATTCTATTCAATCATTTCTATTGAACAATTTGTTTTTTAATAGAAAAAAAGTCGTATTTACATAGTTAGTTTGTTATTTTTTTTTTCTTGTTTTTTTTTTTTGATTATGAAAATGAACCACTCTATTATTATTTTTTTCTTTTTTTTTTTTCTTTTTAAAAAAAAAAAATTTGTATATTTGTTGAAATGAAAAGTCATTATCCTTGAAAGATTTACCGCCCTTTCTATTATTGTGCTGACCAAACTTTAAATGATGTGCCCTTATGCTTTATATACTTTGGATAATCTAGGATAACCTAGGATAACCTAGAGTAACTTTAGTCATGATATGTGGTTTTCCTTTTTCTTATATTATAATCATGAAAAAAAACCTATCATCAAACTATTTGCTATCAATATAAATTGCCAGCACTGTTTGTGACCATTTGACTATTCATTATTATTACAAGAAATAACAGTGACTTCAAATTTACGACCACATTTACTGCTCAAAGTACTACTTCGAGTCAATGCGCCTTGTAATGAATATAAACTGCTATTAGGACTCGAAGCTATGCTAATTCCACTACTTGTAGTAGATGAAGGAGATGACGAGGCAGGTTCAGAGGAAGAACTCCATTCAACTTCGAATTTTCTACCAGTATGAGAATTAATCGTAGTGTAAGGTTCATGTGTCTCAAATTTTGTAGCAGCATTAGGTAATATTTGTTGCCGTCGGTCGCATAAAATTTCTTGTAGTAACTTATCCGATACTTTATTTGTTGAAAAAGATCTTCTTGGTCTAACGAGACCATTAACCACAGGTGATGGTTGTTTTATAGGTTTATTGACAATATTCTTTGATCGACCACGAGAATTAGTCAAATCAGAAGAATTAGAAGAGATATTCTTATTTACACTTGTAGAATCACTAGAATATTTCAAAGAAGATAAAGAACTTCTTGAAGTTGCAGCCGATGATTGATGAGTATATAAAGAAGAACTTTGAGAGACACCAGGACGATAAGGAGCAATCGAATCCCAAGAATAATGTTTCAACTGAGAACCATTTTGTTGAGTACCATTTTGTTGAGAAGAAAGTTTATAAGAAGCCAAATTCATCGAATTCCTATGAACAGGAATTCTTATTGGAGGAGAATTGTGAGCATTAACAGGGTAAAATTGAGAATGATGAGGGACTAAATCCGGTAAGGATTCAGGAGGTAATACAGGATGAACACCACCATTCGCAGAGAAACGACAGGGCTTTTCATGACAATGACATTGATCAAACATGGTAGTATTAAAATCTTCACTTTCTCTAACAATAGTAAATCGACCAACTTTACCCAATACTTCAGGTTCTTTTGAGAAATGCCTAGGAGTTTGAGCACAAACATCGAAAAAAGAACTTTCCGAAGAAACTTTTGAAGTAGAATCTTCATAATGATGATCCGAAGATTTTGGAATAACAGCATCACAAATGTCTTGTTGACAAATATTTTGTTGACAAATACTTGGTTGACAAATATTTTGTTGAGAGAGACTAATATTAGAATTAACATCAGACTTATTGTTGACATCTAAAGTAGGAGTAATCACATCCTTATCATGATCAACTAAAGAATTATCACGGGCAACAACACGAACGGTATCCACACTTGTACTTGATCTTGAAGAAGTCGATACATTGAAAGAATCATCCTCGGGAATTTTATCAGATTTTTGATCGTTCCGTTTCAAAAAGACAAATTGAAGACGGGATAAGATAGTTTTTACCCAATCAGTATGTTTTTTTGTATTAAAAGACAGTGAACTCCTATCACTATTTCGACGAACACGTAAAATATCTGCGGAATTAACTCTTCGTTCGATAGAAACAGAACAATTAACAGGACTAGGAGGCGCAGTAGATATATCCATCCTTTCAGCACTTTTTAAATTATCATATTCATCAAAACCGGTAGAAGACGGAATATTTAAGAGATCATTATGTATTCGAGAAGTCATAGACGACGGACTTTTGAATAACGAAAGTGAACTGGTATCAGGTAACGGAAGAGGCATAGGAGGTGAAAACATGCGTAGGCCGATAAGGTGTATCCGACAAGAAGGTATAGAGGTTGGTCTTGAATATATTCTATGATATTTCAATGATATTCTCAGTGATAACAAACACTCAACTGATAGACTGAGAGAGAGAAAGAGAGATAGATAAAGTGGGAAATAAAGAGAAATAGAGAGAGAGATGGGATGTTTTGGATGTTTGTGACACACGAGATAATTATCGAATGAGTTTTTCCTTATATTTTGTTTCGCTCAACGAAAAAAAAGGTTTGTGATTATAAAAAAATTTGTTATGATGATTTGTTATTATTATTTCCTTCAAGTATTTTAATACAAAGAAGGCCTGAACTCCATGGTCAAAGATATATATTGAAAAAAAAAAAAAAAAAAAGGGACAAAAATCTTTTCTTTTTTTTTTTTTTAAAGTCTTTTTTTTAGGAAAAAAAAAGAGAAAGTCGTCTTTATTTTTCTTCTATATAACTAGTTTAAACATTAAAAAATAAAAAAAAATAAATGACGACCTCGTTAAAAAAAAAAATGGTTGAAAAAAGAAACCAGTTTAATAGGGTTTTTAAAGGTGAAGGGTGAATGTGTTTATCATAAGTAAGATTATCGAAGCGCTAAGCTATAAAGGTTTATAGTATAAATTAATAACGATATATGGGAGATGCAGATAACACATTAGGAAACGGCGGCTTTTTTTTTTTTTTTTTTTTTTTTTATGTGTATATATATTTTTATTAAATTTTTATTTTTAGGTAGAATAAATGCGGAATGATAAAACCGAAAGTCGTTATTTTATGAGTAACGAAATTTACCTCTCTCAGTAAACCAAAAAAGAATCCTTTGAAGGGCTTTAGACGAAATTTTAACGCATTTTTTGTATTATTTTGAGGACATAATAACAGTAGTAGACATAGTAACTTTTTTGATGTGTTATGATTATTACAGTATTATAAACAACATAAAATACATAAAATACATAAAATACCAGGGCTGAATAAGCATTAATTCAGTGAATACAGTGAATACAGTACATGATATACAAAGTACAATATTCTTTAGTACAGTATAGTATATTATAGTATATATTAATACAGTATATTAGTACAGTACAATATATTATAGTATTATAGTATTATAGTATTATAGTATTATAGTATATATTAATACAGTATTCTAAAAATATAATAGAATACAGTTAATAAATATCATTGATACAGTAGTAATACAGTAGTAGTATATGGTTAATGATACAGTAGTAGTAAAGTATATTAAATATAGTAAAATATTCATATACACTATAACTATAAATATTGCAAATCATAAATTTTTTTATTACGATAACAGTATTAATTATACCGTTCTTGTCCAACTGCATCTTACCATATACAATCCTTATATTGTTTATTTAAATTCAATTGAAAATGCCATTTCTCACTGGTTGATGTAACGTACGTATGTACAGTACACTTTCCGGGGGCATAAGGCACGTTTTACTAGATAAAGTATACACATATACAATATATATATTAACAAATATGTATTATTTATTATCATTACTGTTTTTTTGCGATTACCTGTTTGCATGTTGTTAACTGTTGTTAAGTATCCTTACACGTATTCTTGTACCCATTCTTGTGTACCTACTCTTGCACCCATTCTTGCACCCATTCTTGTACCTACTCTTGTACCTACTCTTGCACCTATTCTTGCACCCATTCTTGTACCTACTCTTGCAC